GATCTGACAAGCATGTGTTGCTATGGCAATGGAGACTATGGAATGTGAACATGCTGCTTCAGCTATGTGTCAAATATGAAGCCTAAAACCTTTAATACATATTTTTATTTTTTAAAGCATGTGTCTGATATACTCTTCCCATAAAAAATTGATAGCAATGAACCTTTTTCTTCTAATATTTTGAGTGATTGCAAGCTCACTTTGGCACTTCAAACTTGCCTATAGTGTATTTATAAATAAAAATAAGGAATAAAAAAAGGACAGTGTTTTACAGGTTGCAGGTTTATAGATTCTCCTATTAAATACTGGAAGATTATTTTATGAACACTTTTAATACAATTATTTGTATAACTGATGTTAGAAGGCAGCAAAGTTGGCTTTACAGTAATGATGTTTAGTGTTAAAGTAGAAAAAAAAAATCAAGCATGTAAGCTGTGTTAACTGTCTATATGCAAGTCTGTGTGCAATGAACTATTTCCACTTAGATTGTTTGTCTTTCCTCCTTTACATATCATCAATAATTCTCTGTTAAAAGACAAAGTATGACTTCAGTGTTTGTAGACAAAACATTACAATACCATAATGTAAACGAGAGATATACTTTAGGTTTTTACACCCTGCCAGCATTGCTGAACATGTCTATAAAGACAGAAAGTTTTGGACACTAGTCCTAAACAATATCTTTTCCCTGAAAATTGATGTAAACTTTCTTTGAGCTTTTGAGTGTATCCTTTCTTAAACACTGCCCTTGAAGGTCTGCGTTAAGGGACAAAAATTGATGGATTTTGGTGTCTGAATATCACAATCCATTTTACATCCAAGAGTCTACTACAAATAAATTGGGTTTCAGTGGACAGTTTTGCTTTGTAGCATTTCTGCAAGGTAGCTTTGCTTACTCTGTGAAGCAGCTTGACTCTTTACAGTCTCAGAACTACACGCTGCATTGTTTGCTCTAATAAGGAGATGAAACTCTTGTTATTTTTTTCCCTTTTCCTTGTTATATCCTTTTTTGAGTTTATGACTACTCATTTCCCAAATGGTATGGAATTCTTTCATTGTATCCACATAAATCCCACCACGCAGCCGCTTCCCACGTGGGATCACTGAGCAATGAGCACCATGGAAACATGGAGTGCTACATTACTTCTAGTTAGGTGGAGGTAGCAAACATTTTGTCTCCTTTTCTCCTTCTCCACCTGTAAATCCAGATTCTTTGCTGCTTCTCACAAGAAACATGCTCTTAAGGTAAATGATCTATACGTGTATTTTGTGCAAATATTTGATAACTTCAGGATTCCCAGACAGCTCCAGCCTTTACTGTTCAGCAATCCAAGTCAGTCTGCTGGCCAACTGAGACCCCAGGGAGCTTTCCATTAGCATTTGCCAAGGAGATTTTGCCATCAGATAGTCAAACACCTGGCCAGCCAGTTATGTGTTTTTTACTTATCCCCCACTGAGTCAGAATTTTCCCTCTGCTTTGAGGAGTAGATTTTAAAAACAAACACAGATACATCATAGCCTGACAGACATTCTACCAGCCCAGCCTCCCACTTCATCCTGCTGCCTTTCTGACATTTCAGGTCTTCCTTTTCTCATTATCTGACACCCTTAAGCTCTGAGCTAATTGCTGTCTTTTCATAGGCATCCCTGCTAAGAAAACATTGATTTCTCAAGCTTAATTTGCCATTATTTTAAAGCATTTGATGTCCCTCCAAAAAGAAGCTGTACATCACATTTTATTGTTACCGATTTGCTTCTGTCTGTGTGGAAGATTTTCATGCAGTATTTGGCTTTGGAAGGTTTATTTTTGCTTAAGGTGCTGACACTTTGCTAACTATTTAAGCAGGAGAAAATAGCTTGGGCTCAGTGACAAAAACCTGATTGGAAAGGTTTGAATCGAAGGCAGGAAGGGGAGTGTTTGTGTCACTGAATTAGGAGCCAAAACTAGATTAAGGGATTTTTTAATTGACTGTTTGCTGTTTCATCTTTCATGTTCATTGAATATTTTGGGTTGGAAGCGACCTTAAAGATCATCTAGTTCCAACTCCCCTGCCATGGGCAGGGACACCTTCAACTACATCAGGTTGCCAGAGCCCCATCCAGCCTGGCTCTGAACACTTGCAGGGATGAGACATCCACAGCTTCTCTGGCAACCTGTGCCAGTGCCTCACCACCCTCCTGGTAAAGAATTTCTTCCTTATACCCAATCTAAACCTACTCTCTTTCAGTTTGAAGGCATTCCCCCTTGTCCTGTCATGTCCTAGGTCATATTTTACTTACATTTTTCTTCATTGTACCACAGTCTGGCATAAAAGTACTAATGCATGTAATAGAAACATGGAAAATGTGAAGTAACAGCTACTGCAAAATTTGTCAGTAGATGAAAAGTCAAGGATGCATTATCTTCATATGGGATTAACTGCTTTGGAACCTGCAGTTAGTTCAGCAAGATGAAATTCCTAACAAGGAACATGTTATGCAGAAAGTGCATTCATTCACACACTGCATTTTTCTCAAGTATTCTCTCCTCTATCAAAGAGTAGCCTGCCCCCCTTGCCCTTTGTCTCTAGCAAACGATCTGTTCTGTGGACTGAAGATGCTTTAATGACCAGAGCACTAACTTTGGAGTTAAAAGTACATGATTAGATTCCACCTAAAGGAATTTGAACAAACTACCTATGTCTGAGTCTTGTAAGGACAACAGTACTTGCCTTTTTCTAGAAGAATCACAAGAAATATCATAAGAACTCAGGACTGAAGCAGTTACAACAGAAGTAAGGATTTCTCACACATACCAGAGATTGTATATATCATTCTTTGCTTCTCTCACTGAAACCTCTTTAACAATTCACTACACAATTTCACATTCCAAAGGTCCTTCCAGACACCTGAACCGTGTAAAGCAGGGTTGGCCAATCCATGTTTTGGGACTTGCAGGTAAGTGTTTTGGTTTGGTCATTGAAAGTATGCCCTAGTGATGTGGATAGGCAGGGACCCCTTATTACTGCCCTGGCCAGCCTTGTCTCCCAGGTCTGTTTACAGATTCCACTGTCATTGCTTTAACATGCTCTACTCATGACAGTATTTAGACATGATAAGTATTTACTGAGATTTCCTGTATACTAGTTCACCTTTTTTGTACAGGTACAAAGACCCTGCTAGCACAGCTAAGACAATAGCAGTGGTCCTAGCTCATCTTAACCTGCTTAGACCTGTACCAGGATCCTTCTTTGATGACCTCAGACACAGCTCAGTTACAAAAATACTAATAGTTATGAAAATAAATACTTAGTCTACAGGCACAGTATTTTGATGCAGTCAAATTTACCATCTGTCTTGATGACTTTACTCACATAAGGTGACATTTTTACTTATGCACGGAACTGCAGCTTGGTCAATAATTCTGCCTTCCCAGAAAGGTTACTAGGCATGAGTCAGTGCTTACAAGCAAAGTGAAAACTTTGAGGTACAAGATTTGTCCACCGTTCCGCAGTGCAATAAGCAACCAGATCCAGCAACATTTGCTGCACTTTTTTTTTAAACACATGATCTCATAGTACTGTACACCAATCCAGCCCAAGCAGCTGCAATGTCTAATTTGTGCTTTAATCTGGGCATGTAGAAGGCAGTGGATATATAATTCATGCCTCAGATTGTTTTATTCAAGACTTTGAATCAAGCTGAAGTTTCTTGCTTTTTAGATCAGATAGAAAAAAGTTTCTCCAAAAGCAGAGTCTGCATATGTACAGTTGCTTCAGGACAGGAAATATTTTGTGGATATCAAACTCAGGTCTTCCTTTCCCTCTAATCCTGTATTTCTCAGGTGAAATTCACACAGATGCCATTCAACATTGCAAAAAAAAAAAAAAAACAAACCCACAAACCTGTAAGTTATATACTACTGCCCTCTACTGCATTGTTAATTTAGATCATAAAACCATACAAGTCACAGTTCCTGTCCAGTTTATGAGGCTTATTCATGTCATCAGTCAACCAGCCCACCTGTACACCAAAGATCTAAATAAACAAAGTATTCAAAGTTTTGGGGAAGAAAATCACAATATGTCTGAACCAGTAGGACCAAAACAACAAGTTCTTGTATAATTGTATTTGTTAAGCCTCCCACCTTTCATCTCCCAACTTCATAAGAAAAACACAGCATCAGAGTCATTCCAGAATTAAAAACACCCTCCAGTCAGTTCTATCTGTTCAAACACAAGCTGAAAAAATCCCGTACGGAAAACCTGTAGGATATGTGAAACATAACTAACATTAATACCTTTGGATTATCACAATTCTCTAATAATACTGATTGCCAAAGATGTCTACCAGTACAAAAGGCATAAATCTACACAAACATACTCCTGTCCCCAGGAATTTATTATTACTGAACATGGCTCACATCCAGGATATGTCTTGGCATAAATAGCATCTGAACAAACTGTGTTGATCCTCTTAATTCATTTCCCCAGGAACCGTTGTTTCAGTACAGAAAAGAGATTTCTGGAGGAGATAAGGCACTTCAGACTTAACTTAGTTCCTCCACTATTTACAAAGCACTGTGTGCACTCCTCCACTGCTTGTTTCTAATGGAGAATGGGCACATTGAATGAGAAAGACTGTGCTGTATATTTCTCATTAAAATGTGTTGAATTAAGGTCAGGTTAATAACTTTCCTTGACTGCATCATGCTAGGGAACTAATTTCAAAATGATTACTTGAACAGAAGGCATCCTGAAAACTTTAATACAACATAAGCAAGTAAGGAGCAAGCAAAAAAAAAAAAAAACCTGAGTAATCTCAGTCCCACACCTCCATAAATTATAGGACAATTAACAGAGAACTCCAAATGTATCACATGACATCTTGGAAGATGAAGCAATAAGTAATCAGTTAGACACCGTGAGAGACACCCAGAATCTGTGGGAAAGAAAAACAGCACCAAGTTGACATTCCAGTTGAGCACTGAGGCAGCACATTAGGAACAACAGGAGACAAACTGTATTAGATCAACTTTATTTATATTATCAAATTTGACAATAAAATATTCAAAATCTATTGAACGCATTCATACACAAGAACATATAAAATGCTAGGTCTCAGAACGTGTTCCTTACAAAATACTGGTTAGTGTAGCAAAGTCATTGCCAAACATTCCCTGAATTTAAGAGGGCTTTGAACACACTGTGCTCCAAGAACTACTTTAATACCAAACATTCCTTCCTTTGGTCTGCAAATCCTTTGCAATTATTGCTAGTTATTGAAGTCTTCTGCTTTTATACAGAATCACATAGTGACTCTGAACCTCTTCAGAAGTATTACAATGACAGCTGAAAGCTTCATCAGCATTTTTGATACATGGTGTCAAAAATAAGCAGCACATTTGGTCCTCAAGACTAGTTTTGGTTTCTGAAAACAGCCTGGAAGAATAAAACAAAGTAAAAATAATGGAGAGACATAATTAGTGCATTAGGTATAACGAAGGTACGTCAGTAAATTCAAATGAGCTGTGCAGCTTGGCAGAGCACCCAAGTTAATCCTCTTCTGAAAGTGCCACATTCTTCTTAAAGATTTATTTCTTCAGACCTCTTCCCCCCCTAGAATCTAGAATGCTCAAGTGCACGTGGCTCCAGCAGGCCTGTAACAGCAATGATGAGTGCTCTCACCAGAGCGAGTGAGCACTTCTCAACACACACCTAGGAATAATGCTTTCACTTTGCAGTGAGGACTGCATCCTAACATGCAAGAAACTGCAAATGAATGGGCTGAGGATCAGTTAGTGGGGGGGAAAAAAAAAAAAAAAAAAATCACAACTTCTGGACATAAAGCTATTGCCTGCAGATCCACCACATCCAATCCAAGTCCCACCAGAAGCACTGTGTGTGCTCACACAGTACTCAGGTACACACATTCCCTTACAACAAGGCTTTACAGTGACAAACAGTGTAACAAACAAATGCCTTGAAAAAGTTTCAGCTTCATTTTACCTTATCAACTAACACAAGTTTATTTATGGAGACACTCTAGGACTTGTCTACTAACAGAAAGCTGATTTATAAATCTTTATGTCAACTGACCTCAGAAACACAGTAATAGGTTGCCAAAATTAGAAAAGAATAAGAGTTGTGCTTTTTTTTTTCCTTTTCAGTCACAAAAAGTACTATTAAAAAACTACTAAAGAAAAAAAATAAAAAGAACATCTTTTTGTATCGTGTATTTTGGAACTTCAAATAACAAAAAAACCCTGAAGCTAAATTCTTGCTGTGAGACTGAAAATGCTACTGAGTAATGGGTAAGGATCTAAATGAAGCTTAGAAACATTCTTCAGATCAGGTTAAGAATCATTTACTTATGTTGTTTTCTCATTTTTTCATCCCTTGATGCCCATGTTGGTATCCTGCAGTACAGCCTCCAGCTCCACTCATTCCAGTGCTTACTAACAGGCATTTTACTTCAGCAAGAAACACAGACTGCAATTAGCTGTCTCCTCTAATTTTTTCAGTTGTAAAGCAGTAGTATAACAATTTATTCAAAAATTGAGTCAGACCAAGGAGGAGCTTTATCATCTTTGAGCAATCTTGAACACAAGCCTGAAGCTTATCCAGCTAACAGCCCTGCATAAAACAGATCACTTGGCTAACAAAGTTTTTTGTGGGTTTTCTTTTTTAATTTGCTTCTTGTTGTAGGGGGTTTTTTGGGGTTTGGGGGGGTTGACTGGCTTGTTTGTTTCTGGTGGAGTTTTTGTGGTTTTTGGGGGATTTTTTTGTTTTGTTTTTTCATTTCAACAGCTACCAATCACAAAAGGCTGGGGGGAACTCAGTAGTTACTCTGGAAAAGTCTAGGCAATATTACTTCTGAACTGTAGGTTCCTGGACAACTGAGGGCAAGATTATTGTTCCATTTTAAAAATCAGGAAAATGTGTATACTCCCTCAATGTAAGTAAGAGGAAAAAAATGAGGGCAGGGGGAAATAAAGCTACATAGGTAAGTTAAAACCTAGGAATACATTTAGCTTGTTGATGACCTTAGTTCAAGCTGTTCTGCATTTACAAGAGATTTCTGAATTAAAACTTGAAGCCTTAAACCTACCTTAAGCCTGCCAAAATGTTTCCATTCTACACTAACAAGAGTTCAAGCCCATCCTTTCAACACATCCTATTGATACATCCAATGGTAGCAAACATTTTATACATGCTATCAAAATAGTTAAAACTTGACCCTTTAGACAGTTTCAGTTTCTTAAGTAATGAATCCTTAATAATTTGATGAGTTTCTGAAACTATTAAAACATTTTCCTTGGAGAACCTAGCATTTTGAAAGCATTCTAAATTGCATTTTCAGAAAACTAAGTGCAATCTACCTGGGTGACTGGTTTTAAAGTAAGCAAGAGAATCTCTGGGTGACACTATTTCTCCAACAGGACTTCTGTAATCAAGGTTGGAAATATGATGGTCTTTAGGCCAGCACTTCTGTGGCTGTCAGAGTTGATATTATTCTTTTTTAACATTGAGTAAAACAATACTGTAGGAAAGTAACAGATTTGCATGTTCAGCAATTTATGGAAACATTTAAGGAATAGCATATCCCAACTTCTTGAAACAGCAAAAATGAAAATAATGGGAAATTACTTTTAGTCTTAAAGCAAAAAAGTTTCTTTTCAGTGGAGTGCAATGTTGATCCAATTGCTGCTCGGTCAGTAACTGGAACAGAGATGAAGTATTTGACTGAGAGCAAGGTTTATACTCCATATGGCATTATGCTGGCTTCCACTCCTCACCCATTTCAGGAAGTTCACTTCTCTTTTTGAAATACTGCCCACCATCCATTACCATTTCCACTACAGGAGATCATTTTTCACCGAGAAATGTAATTCCATACTGTATAGATTGCTTGCCAGTATTCAGTTAGCTTTGATTTCTGTGCTACTCCACATAGCTACAGTTACTGCAAGCAGCAACCAGTTTAGCGTCATTCCCTCACTGATAAATAAAGCACGGGGTGAGAATGCCTCGGACTCCAGACTGCATGTAATCATGGTTCTACAAGTTGATGAGCAAACAATTTCTTCTTTTTAAAAAAACCCAGAAGGATAGCTAATAAAGAAGCTTCAAGTAATTCCCACATTATCTTTTTTCCCCGAAAGCTGTAGTAAAAGAAAGCTGGATTTCAACAACAGTAACACAGTTCCAGGCAGCCCCGTTCCCTATCTTAGCTAGTAGATATGTACATTTATAAACCAAGGTACTGTGGATCAGAATATGCAAGACCCTTTAAAAAGTTTTCTGTGCTTCCCAAATTGTTAATATCATTCCTTTGTTTTATGGGCATCTGAAAGTGCAATCCTTCCTAACCCTCCCACTCCAAACCTGCAAAGACCACACAAAGGAACTCGGGTATCTATGGTTCCATGTAGTATGTGCAAGGGGCTGCACAATCTCTGAATGAAAGTCTGGATGAACATCGGACAACACCACAGGCACCAAAATGCATATTTAACCAAATCTGCAGAATGTGAAAATACCATGAAGCATCATAAACACAAATCAGAGACAAACAACATTTAGGACATCAAACAACTTCTTGAACACAACCTTTAAAAAAAAAAAAGAAAAATAAATAATTCAAATATCTAAATATCAGGGGATTAAAAGGCATTTTCCCATATTTAAGGGAAGGCATCACAGGTGAGGAAAATAACTATCAACACAAGGTTATCACAGATCAAAAAGCAGCTTTTTCACGTAGGAGATAGTCGTATCATTGGATAGCATTTCAATGTGCTCATTCCCTGCGAGCTCAAATATCAACACCTCCTGTTTTTGCCTGTTCACCCACTTGCGGCACTGCAAGGCACTCTGCAGGTTCACTGTTCCGTCGCCGTCGCTGTAGAGGATCTTGGGCTCTCTGTCCGGGAAGCTGTCGTAGTGGAAGGAGTCGGGGGTGTCCACGCCGGTGCCGTACAGGCAGTGGATGCGCACGCCCGGGGGGGCCATGGCGTACACCAGCGGCTCCGTGGCCTGGCGCATGAGCCAGCCGTCCTCGAAGCCGATGTCCCTGTAGAAGCGCCGGTAATCCCGCAGCGTGTAGTTGGCTGTGGGTGTGCTCACAAAGACCTTGTCTGGAGGCCACGTGTAATTGTAGGGGAGCATCCAGTTTGTGGAAACTGCTGATCTCTGCTGGTCTCTGATCTTGAGTGAACTGATAACGGGTATCCTATTGTTGTCACCTTAGAAAAAAGAGTGGAATTTCATTAGACATAAAACGAAGCATAAACCTCAATCAGCAGCAATTACTAGCACTCACAGTGATAACGCAAATAAAATGTTTGGTTCCTTTGCTTACAGTGACAATTTAAAGAGTTTTTCCTCATTTATGATGGTCTTCATAATTACAAATATAAATAAAAATTGATGAATAACTAAACCAAGAAGACTGCTGCCCTCCAATATGCTCCTTTGTAAAGGATGAAATATTTCCTCTGTGGGCCAAGTAAGAAATCAGATTTTATTAGGCATTATTTAGACCATTTGCAAGTTCTGTCTTAAATGGTTTTCTGGAAATGTGTTTTACGGTGCTTTTGGTACCTAGATCATGTTTCTGCTTCAAGAATAAGCACATACTAATGTGCAAGCACCTGTGAGAACTCATGAAGAAACTTTATAGAATGTTGTGGGTTCAGGTGGCTGGGTTTTTGGTAGTAGGGAGGCCATAGGGGTGGTTTCAGTTAGGAGCTGTTAGAAGTTTCACTGTCCCATAAAAAAAAAAAAAAAAAGCCAATGATAGCCAGCTCCAGGAGGAAATTCCTTGGTGCTGGCTATCATTGGCCTTTTTTTTTATAGGACAGTCTCTGCTTATCCTATCAAGTAAGAATGCTGCCCTCAGTGACCAGTTCACTCTCTCAGCATAGTGCTTCAACAAAAGAAGAGCTAGAGCTTGTTAACTTCTGGTGGGAACCATGAAAAATTGCCAGTATCAGCATCTCCCCTTCCAGTCAGCATGTCGAGACTGCTAAAACACTTGCACTTCTCAGAACACAGGTGTTCTCAAATGTAGCACTAATATTTTGTAGCTGGTTACTCTGGTAACATAAACTACATCTTTGCCAGAGGGCAGGCAGATAAAAACCACATTTCTTCAAAAACCAGTTGATAATTACTATACTTGGTAAGTGTTTTCAGCTGGCCCAGCTTTTACAAGGCATTACATTTTTATAAAATGTTAATCTGGAGAGCTAGAGCTTTGCTCATTATCAATAAAGGTATTAAGTTACCTGATACCAAATAAACCACAAAATTGCCATCTTTTTACCAAATTTAGATTTACTCTTATTACAGAACTACTGTCTGACCAAAGCATTCTCCAATTTTGTAAGAGATCAAGACATCTGTTTTCTTAGCAGTTCATTCCAAAGATGGTTCAAACTAACACATGATTAAGTTATAATTTATATATATCGTTCTTCATGTTTTAACAGCTGTTCTTGCATCTTCACAAAACTAAAAGCTGCTTCATAAGTGAACTATATAGTGATTACTAGAAATCTATTTTTATTTACATGCCATCCCCTCCCCTACCCCCCCAAAAAATCAAACAAAAAACCAAACAAAACCCCCACAAGAACAAAAACCAACAAGAAAAAACCACAAACAAATACTGAGACAGACCAAAGTTTGTTTTTCTTATTTTCACTATCACAGTAGCTGGCACACCTCAATTCTTTTGTCAGCTGAACTTTGAATCAGATTTTCCACAATTAGGTCCAGGTGGTTACAGCATGTAATGGTCCAGGTCAACCATGCTACAAAAATCGAAGTGCTGAAACCAAAACCACTATTTCTGAAAAATATACTCTGGTGCTATTTCTATTCCAGGAGGTGGCACTAGTGCTTCAGCAAGGAGACATAAAGCACAATCTTTAATGCGTCTTTAGGAGGACTACATGAAGGCATTGTTGGTATAAGTCTGAAACATATAAAGAAAACTCCAAGAGCACAGCGAGAATCACAAAGGTCCCGAAAAACCTGTTTCATATTACTGTGTGGTAGCAGTACTTAACTGTGCACTCTCAGCACTAAGCTACTGAATACTGCTTGGCAGTTTCCAGCAAAGAAAGCCCGAGTTTTGAACTGAACAGTGAAAGGAATGTGTACAAAATTTATTTCCAGTAGAATAATCAAACACAGAACTTGACTATTCCAGCCTTCTCTTACAGAACCGTTACAAAGTGCTTATCAAGTACTTTTCTCTAAAGTGAGGAACTACCATGTGGCCAAGACCGTATTTAATTAAGTCAGCAGGCACAACACTCTCATTGTAGTGAACAAAATATTAGATCTAAGGAAGACACTGCTTATATTTCAAGCTGACAAAACAAGCCACCACAGTGAACTTTGTGTCTGTGCCTGCTGTAGGAGAAAGAATATCCTCACTTTACTGGCACTGCAACTGTAATGATACAAGTACTGAACCTGCAAAGCACACGAATAAGTAGCAGAAAGTATCACAGAAAATCTACTGAAAATAATTCCACCCATGTCCTGTTTACCACTTTGATAACACAACTGGATTTCACATGAAGTTCCTGGCCATTACATATGATAAACAGGAATGGGAGTAGAAAGAATGCATTCACAGCATGCCTTGTCTTTCCTGCAGAAATGGAGTACTTTCTTTAAAGCAACAATTCTTCTACATACTAACCCTGATAAACTCTTTAATAGACTAATGTAATCCAAGTGTTGATGCCTGATGGTTGTGTGTTACTTACAGGTATTTGAGATAGGACTAGCCTAAAACTGTGCACTCTGAAATTAGGTACTGCCCATTTCACTTTCCCATATGATTCTTAGATTTCTGCTCAAAAAACATGGACTTCGGCACAACAGACATACAGATTAGCGTATGACTACGTTTCATAGAGATTTAATTTTTCATTATGCATTTGTATAACTAACCACTTTGGATGAAATGCATTATAAAGGATAAACAAGGTATGAAGCACAAAAGTTTAATCCAACAGAAATCAAGGACTCTGGAATTTTATATAATCATGGATAATTTTATTAAGCTAATATTAACATTGCTCACTTCCTGCCATTTCTGTTGCATACAGACATGTAAGATGAAGCCTGTGGGAAATCAATTTTTACAGTGCCATTGCAACACATTTAACAATGTGTAAATTGGATGTTTGTATTGAGTTTTCTAATTAGTCACAGACTAGTGCACTACTGTTCAGACTCAAATGCCTTTGCTAAGCAAAGTATTCTTTGCTCTGTCCACGCATGGCTGAGACTTGCTCTGTGTTCTGCATTTTGATGAAGTCCAGTTTTTTATGTCGGCTTTGATTAGGGAGAAGACAGCAATACCCAAAGCTAACAAATCAGAAGTGAGCTACAAAACCAAGCCAGAATTATCAAGAACTAAATGCCAGAGCACATGACATCATCATGGTATCACATGATGGGGTAAGTGAACATTTTCCATCAGTCATTTGCAGTTACTGAGCGAAATAAGTTATGCTTCTTTATTCTGTTTTTGTGGGGGTTTGGGTTTTGGAGGTTTTTTGTTGGTTTTTTGTTTGGTTGGTTTTTTTTAAGTCTCAAGCATATCCAGTCTGCAAAACCCCAGACCTCAATCAGTAGTGTTATAACTTTCACCTGACATTTACACTGTAGGCACCACTTCACTACCATGTCTACAAGTTTCCCTTAATGTTAACCTCAAGCAGCTGTGTGATCTTGAATCAAAAGAAACTACTGAACGCTCTGGAGCCCTTGTTAGCTTTGCAGTACTGAACAGAGCAATCAGGCTGGAGGCAGAAGTGATAGAAATAGAAGGCATGAGGCCAAACAGCAGATGACAGAACAATCTGCAGAAAAGAGGTCAGGAGGGGTCAAGAGGAGACATAGCTCCTGGTTACGGGATGGGGACAAATTAGGTTCACTCCCACAAATAGGAAGAATGATAGTCTGGTTTCAAGGCTTGAAACATCAAGTTGTCATCACTTATGAAAAATATTTTTACCTTCACAGTACCTTAAACTCTTACCCCCTAATCTTACAGTTAACAGGCTAGTTTAGTATCATGCACTAAATGCATTGCAAACGCTCCAGTTACCCACCTGAGGCCAGCACACGGAGAGTTTTAGCCACTCCTCCCCATGGAGCGCCTAGTGACACGTAGTCCTTGATGTACTTGTCCTTCCAATCCTGAGTCTGCTGGTTGAGGAAGTAGAGGGTGTACATATTACCCATACTGTGGGCAATTAAGACAACAGGACTTCCATACTGCTCATACATTAACTCTATCATCTTGCGAAGTGCCACAAAATAGTCTCCATTCTCATCTAAAACATACAGATTACACAGTTATAATTATTAATTGTGAATGCTAAAAACTTTAAAACCATAAGCTTTTAAATAATTGTGTTGAACTGTCTACGGAATTAATAATAATACAGAGCTTAGAGATTCCAGTATCGGGGGGTGGGGTTTGTGGGCATGTGCTTCAGTGGTGTGGGGGTTTTCTGTTGTTTTGTTCTGTTTTTTTAAGGAAGTTTTAAGTAGCAAGTTGTTTAAAGGAAAAAAAAAAAAAAGAAACTACAACAATGAGCTCACATCTGGGCCCTGCAGTGCCCAGGCCCCAAGAACCAGTCAAAATTAAGTATGATTGTACAGGATGGGAGAAGAGACTCAAAATATATTTGCTGTCTAGGAGAGGCAAAATTCTGTTCAAGTAACAGTATGTTATTTACTTGGTGCCTTTCGCCAGTCATAAGGTGCTCCTCTTACATCTTCATCACGTTTGTAGCCCCAATCTACTAAACTCTGCACCAGCATATAAAAGTAACTTCCTGTAGACAAGAGATAAGAGAAGAACAGAACAGTAACAGGGTTAGTGTTACAAACAGTCTGGGGGCATTACCTCTGATACCATATATACAGACATTAAAACAGCAGAAAACTGCACGCACATTAAACAAAATGAGATATGCCCACTATCCCCCAAAATTGAGAGAATGCTGTTATTAAAACTTCTTACTAGGTGGCTGATCTCTCAAAGATTTTGGCAGCAAAATCTAGTATACACAGAGGGGATAAATCTTACTCAGCAGAGGAAAGTTTAATCTTGAACTGTAAAGAAAACACCTCAGAAGTTACTACATTAGAGTCCTAACTCTTGCTGATTGCAAATTAACTTCAGGTAGGGTATAACACACATTCATAAAGGTTGGCCTGGACTTCAGCATTCATTGTTGCAAACAAATGCTTACAGCATTTGTATCCCAGGGCAGAATTCTGGAAAATGTTTTTATATCTCTCAGGTAGAGGACTAAGACTGAAGTAACTGAACATAACACTTGAATAGCAAAGAAGGGAAACAGTTACAGACTGCATATTGACATATGTTACGTATTACAAGCTTTGACACATAGGATTTAAGTGTTACCACAACTAAATGCATCTAGTAACAGTGTCTTGACATCCTACGGAACATCACAGTCATATCTGAAGTTTTGAGCAGAACCTCACTCATAAGTCTTGGATGTTTATTACATAGTCCCTGAAGTGGAGAGTTTTAAACATGACCCTATTCTAGTTATAAGACTCATCTGGTACAGATCATTAAGGACATTGCTGCCCTTTGGGAGAACGCTTCCAAAAGACCAATCCTTGTACATACCGACGCTCCTTTTACTTGGATCAAGAAATTCCAAGGAAAACGTCTGCCCAAATCCTGGGACTCTAATATCCACTCCATCTGGTGGTTCTGTAATCTTACTTGTTCGATTATAGACCAGTCTGGGGCAGGGGGGAAGAAAAAAAATCATGAAACGTGTTGTATTGCCACATGAGACCTCTCAGCTACATTGGGTCTTACATTCTGAGTGCAGTACAAGAACTTCAAGTGCTATTACTCAGAAGGAGGAAAAAAATCCACAAAAAAACTAGGCCAGGCAGACATGATCAGAGTGCTCTAATGGCTAAGAGGCCATACAAACAATTACTCAAATGCTTTACATTCAGAATCTAAGCCTTTTCTTCTCAATAAAACTGAGTATACAGAACTGTGACTGAACTTCAATTTTAGAATATGAGCTACACTGTACAGTTCTGTACCACTTGACTTTGCATCAAGCCACATAATAGAGAAAACTTGTCAAGAGCACAAGAATATGGCAGTAGGAGATAAAATACCTGTAAAATCAGACATCAAAGTTATTCTCCTAGATAAAAATAATTAATTTCTGTTTACTAGGGACACCCATACCAGCATAAGGGAATACTTTATTTCTTGACTAATTACTAATAGTATCTCAGGAAATGCATTGAGGTATCAAGTGTTTTGTGAATGCTTTTCAAATGAACTTGAGATATGAAGAATCTGGAGCATTAGGTCAGGAGTTGGGGTTTTTTAATCACTATTATTATTAATTTAGTTGGGGGTTGGTTTGTTTGTCATACCATATCATACCAGTTTTTACCCCTTAATGGAATCACAGAATCTAAACTGATACTCAGACCTTCTCACAACAAAATTCTCTCTAATCTGTAAGGCATAGCAAGACAAAGCAGACTGTTTTACAACAACTCAGTACATTCACATAAAAGAACAACATGCCAATTCAATATTTTTAAATTGCACAAGCCAAGTATTCCTTGGTTTTGGAGTGATGTTTATACTATTTTTAGAGGAAGATCAATGAAGCACACAATGATGAAATAATCTGAGAGCTTCAAATTGGCAATTTTTTTAACCAAAATAATTCTGGAAAGAGACTTCTAAGGCTGCCTGTAAAGGACCCTATGTGCTAATAACACCAAGGTTGTGGGTTCAGCCTCTGTGCAGGCCAGAGACTGCACTTGGTGATCCTTGTGGGTCCCTTCCAACTCAGAATATTTCATGAAACGTGATCCACACCAGTCATTTCCATGTGTCTAGTGGTAGAAATTGGTCTCAGCTGCCCATGAGCCTGTTTCTAATGACACGGTGCCAGCAGAAGCGCAAGCTCACTTTCCTCCTGCCTGTCCCCTTTGAGCTGCCCAATTGCCTCCTCAAGACCTCGGTAATTTATCACAGAATGGATAGGACTTGAAGAGAGCACTGGGTCATCTGCTCCAACCTCCCTGCTCAAGCAGGTTGTCCCTAAAGCACCAGGCACAGGATTGCCTCCAAATGGTTCTGGAATATCTTCAGTGAGGGAGACTCCACACCCTCTCTGGGTGATCTGTCCTGGTGCGTGGTCACTGAACAGGAAAGTTCTTCCTCATGTTCAGGTGGAACTTCCTGGGCATCAGTTTCTGCCCATTGCCTCTTGTCTTACTGCTTGGCAGCATCAAGAAGAGCCTGGCTCCAAGAAGAGCAGAAAACATTCTCTTTAAAAAAGCCCACAGAGGTGCCTGATAAGTGCTCAAACCTACACTGGGTAACTGGTAGGAGAGAAAGTGGAAGAAACCAAGAGAACCTCTGCCCCTTATCAGTGATAAACAGCTACCTTAGACACAACAGAGCCACATCTTCAGATCCCTCCTGTTAGTCTACCCAGCAGAATTCCAAGCCATTTCTCTCACTGGTCTTGAATCAGAAAAGAAAACTTAAGACAGCCATTCTGCATGTCAGCCTAAGGAAAGGAAGTAACTGCAAAGAGCAACATTTCTGGTCTTACCTGATATTATCAATCCAGCAATCAATGATGACAGGTAGAAGCAATTCCAGATTCAGCCAGAGTGTAAAATAACTGTCTGTCTTCTTAGAGCAGAGATAGTGCACTACTGACGGCTTATCTAACTTTGCTTCCAACTGATTACCTAAGTCCCCTGGGACTGAAAAATATAAAAAAAGGAAAGAGAAAAATATAAAAAGGAGACTTAATTCAAGTGAATAACATTTTACATTGCAATATAAATATCTAAATACTGTAGCCCTCACTTCTATCATCACTGCATCCAGAGATGTCCACTTCCCTAAACCAGCTCTCTCACTGGACTTGTTTGGTCCCTAGCTCTTGCTGAGCAACTGCACCTGCTTTCCCAGGCCTAAAGTCTGCCTGATACCCAACAGAGAGACATCATAAAATTTTGTAACCGGTAAAAAAAATTGTATAAGAAGAAAGTACTACATGGACATTTTCCACTGAAAATACTTAGATTTTAAAGAATCAATAACTGAGGAATCATTATGTGGAATAATTCTGGATCAACAGTTCATAACTTCCAAGAGAGGGCTATAAAGGAACATGTCACATTAGCCCATTGGTATGAAAAGCAAAGACTGCCTTGGACATTACCAAAATTATCTGTGTTTTCAAGTACAAGCAATCTTTCTGAAAGGACTTCTTTTTCAGTGTCACAACTGCATATAAAAGTCTTTGTTCTCTTTAAACAGTTGCCTGCAAACTATCAATTTGAGATTAAAACCATGAAAAGTAAAAGATCCATTTGTATTTTATCTTCTCTTCTTCACCCCCAGCCACACTTCTGCAACACAAGATGTAGTTGGCTAACAATGTCAAAATACAGTTCCATATCTCTTACATGCAGGCTTGCATGCAATAACAGTATAGCTCTTCACTTTTTTCCTTTGGATGCATTACATCAGTAATACTTAAAAGAAAAAGTCTTATATTTGCACTTTCTTGAGGCATATACTAAGTGCCAGTATTCCTTCAATTGAGGTTTATTTTTCTTTATTTTTTAAATGCTAGATGGAAACAGGAGTATTTTTCTAAATTAGAAAAATACTTAACAAAACATTCTTATGATTTTCAGCAGCAAGTTTTCAGAGAAACTTCTTACATTCTGTTAGGCTTAATCATTGTTTCCTCAAAAGCCAGAAAGGCAAAAACATTTCAGCAACTGAAAAGTTTTTCTGTGTGAGAAAAATTTAGAAGTTTGGCCCTTCTTAAGGGTTTCCCCAACCTCTTTCAGCTCCACACAGCCACCTTTTTGGGGTGTGCACAACTGTATCCTATTTACTTGTCGATGTCTAGTTTTGAAGGTTTTTAATTTTTAACCCATACAGTTGTGTGTCCCCCTTCCCCACCTACCTCCCAGTAAGTAATTTAATCAAAACAGTTTAAGTTCTATAAAACTCTAATACTTAGCAATGGCTTAAGGAAATAGATATCTTTTAGGGGAACACTTAATTTAAGTGGAAAGCCAGAGGTGCTTTTAGAGAAACGCTTATTGCAGAACTGAAAGAGGACAGAAGTTCAAACTACAGACCTGGACAACCACACTCCAAAACACTCTATAACCACTGCAGATTATGCCTCACCACAAGATATACCTCAGGACTTCTTTATTAACTACCCCTACTTTCTCATTAGGTTTCTAAGGGTATTATTTCTGTAGCCTTAAGTGAAATGTTAAGAGCCCCAGTAGCTGACCATGGTTTATTTTAGGTCATATTTCAAGGACTGATATACTGGAAAGCATAGTAAGGGAGATCATAGTATTGCATCACACCCTAGAAAGAGTTTACTGCAGTTCAGTCTTGTAACCTCACAAAATGCTACTTAGTTATTGCTTAGAAAACTAAGGCAACAGCTTGTTCCAGTCTCGTGCCTATGCTGTACCAGTGCTTTTAATTAGAAAAGGAACAGAATGTAATTCTATTTATATCAATCATTCGTGACTAGCCAGTTTCAGCAGCAGACCGGCCAAGGACGGAACAGGTTGATTTTTGTCTTGGGTTTCAATGCAAAACAACGAAGAGTGACATTTTCTTCTATCCGGGAACATCACTTCCTTGGATAAAAATCAAGATACCTTTCAAAGACTTAAGATGACAAACATCTAGAGTTTGAAGAACTTGCTTATAAGTGAGTACAGTTCAAAAACCTCAGCAACTCCTGCTCAGAGGAGGGAAACTCACTGAAGACGTTAAAAATTACAATCAAGATACATTTATCAACAAAAGTGCTGAAAGCAGGAAACTGCACATAGTCTCACTTCGACTTAATGGAGTGATCTTAGATTAACTGCAAGTTCAATTTAGTTAGGACATTTTATCTTCAAGCTTCTTGAGGATAGAGTCTGTGCTCCTGTGTCCAGTTCAGGGCAGAAGATGAGAAACATGACATAGTGATTTTTACTCAAGGGATGATAAAGAACAAGATGAAAAATGGCAATTTTTGCAATTCCAAACAAAAGATAAGGGACAAGTTCCACTTGTGCCAAGATACATACTGGAGTTAAAAAATAAATTCTCATGTACATGTATGAGGTCTGATTATTTATAAAGCAGGGATTAATAAAAATGCTTGTCATATTTACATTTCCACAATAACAGTGAAACTGCTAGTCACTGTAATTCACAGCTTGGGGTTTTTTATTTTTAAAGTATATTTGCAAGCTGAAGAGGGTTCATGATGAAGCTATAGGAAATAAAATACAAATTTTGATTTTTGAGATTATGGAAAGAAATATGCAAGATCTTCAGTCCTCAACTCACCCAGTTTAACAGAGTTAATGATTTACATTTTGGCTGGAGAACTACTTAGTGGCTTTTTGATAAGTAACAGGTTAAAAAATATCACATTGAAGATTAATTCTGTAAGTTAAGGACATACCTTTACAGATTTTCTATGATGGCATTTACAAGCAGTAGAAAAACGTCTTTCCCTTTGCCTTCAGGCCATACAGAGAAACAAAGACAGAGTTACCTTTAAGCAGTTTTTCTCCTCATCCTCTCATCTACCAGTAGCTGTAGTTTCTAAGCCTTTTTGCTGGAAACATTACATAAAGTTCATACTTTTTAAAGCCTGCAGGCTGACCCCAAACTAACTGGCAAGTGAAGTCCTGCAAAATACATCAGCACTAATTAAAACCGAATGTCCAAGGCAAGATATTCAGTAGTACCCTTGCTTCCCAACTTACAGTTGTGTAATTCCTCTATTGATTTCTGAACTACAGCATTTGGAAATAAGAGATTTCACATTCAGGAAAAAAAAAAGGCACTTCCATCAGATTTCATGTTCTATCAGTTCTAGCACATTCTCATTTTTCAGAGACAGTAATCCCAATAGATCTCATTCCAATACACTGATTAATCCAATTCATTTTCAATATTATAGTATCCTTGACTGATTTTTTTCATCTCATCTGCCCTGACAAAAATAGTAGATCTCCTTTTGGGACGTGTTCTTGTATGATTACACTTTATGGAAAGCACATTTACAAGTTTCATTAGAGTTTAAGAGTGGCCACAGACTTTTCCAAGCCTGTGAATTACAACAACTAGCTTTAGGAGATATTCATACTCATGCCTATCACTATCCTTAAGTCTTAGTTACAGATTCACGGTTCCCATCAAAAGACCATAAGCAAACTGCATCTTTATAGTGACTTGCCTTAATACTGCTAAGATAACAAAGACAAAAGATCACTCAACAAACACTCAAATTTTATCTGTTAAAAAAAAAAAAAATTAAAAATAGTGCCTACATAATAATGGGGTTGGGGGCTAGGCTATTTTTTATGTGTATGGGTGGGATTAAAAAAAAAAAGGCCATCAGTTTGTACTTTTTTTACTACTTTTATCTGAAATGCAAATGCTTTTGAGTGTTTATCAACTATTATAACTTTTTAACTGGTATAATTTCCTCATATAACTGTCATCTTTTTGGTTCTATAAATTAGTATTCCTTCAAAATGAACCAATTTCCAACTTCCCTGGAAAATTAATGTTAAACTCTGACCCCAGTTCTCTAAGGAGAACATCTCAAAGTAGCTCACAGACACGACAGACTGCCACAAAAGAGGCCTGTGTTTAAAATTAGGAACAAGAGCGCAAACAACATCTCACATGATACTTCCAGATACCTTGGATCACATGAGGCATAAACATTTAAATCACTCCTGACATCTAGCCAGCTGACCATACAAACATGCACACCTCAAACAGCAGTCAGCAGGAATTCACAGGCAAAGCTCTTTTACATGTAAATCAATTATTAACAAACTTCATTTAGGTGTCTTTCTAGAAAACTTTAGCCAAGTACCTAACAAATTGTTTGCAGAAGGTATCAGAACATTGATATAGTAATTGTGTTGAGTCAGCTGTAAAAGGTAAAGAGTTCAGTGAATCCAATGCTGGTCTTATAAGGATGGGTTATCAGCTCCAAAAATTTCTAACATGTGAGATAGTACGCAGTGATTATTGATGGACTATAGGAGAAAATGGAGGAAGAGCAGCCACAAAATAAACTACTTCTCACAGCACTAGAAGACAAGACTGTTGAATATAACCAAACTGAAGTTCAAAAAAGTTATAATTCAGGTAAACATGAAGCAGATATACAGAAGTAATTGCACAGAATATGTATATATTCAGTAGATATTGTCAGTAGAACAGAAGTATTTGGTGGGTTATTTTGGTTCTTAAAGGAGATTTTTCTGTATAAACATATTGACCCGGCTAAATAGAAAACTCTTCAAAAAGGCACAAAAGGAAATCAGTATCTTAATTAGTCCCCTTTTCCCAAAAAACACTTGAGAGAGGAATCCAAGATAATCACCTTAGATTTAATGAGCATTGTGCCTGGTATTCAGGCCTTCAGGCAGGACTCTGGACAAAGATTTTGACTTTTGCCTGTCTCTTCTTCTTCTCTAGTAGAATCACTATTATATGAATACATTTGATGCTTTGTTATCCAAATCTCAGGGAAAACTGAGCAATTGCATTGCAGTATTTTGCTGGCAGTTACTACCCCTGACAATTTGGTCCCTTATTATGTACAAACAAGAGCTCCAGGCATAGTAAATCCTGCTACCAAGGCACCTTGATGATGCATAGACCATGGTAAAAACTACCCTAATCCAAACAGTGTGGTGCCACTCTCCACATTCCTTGTGCCAGCTCCTCCATTAAATTAATTCAATTACTAGATTAATCACTTCTCCTAAACATGTTAATTTTCTCATAAGGTAGCAAGACAATTGACTCCGTAAAGTGGCCAATAAGCAGGTACAAGGAAAGCTGGGTGAGTACTGAGCTCAGCTGTTCCAGAGAACTTCCCTTCACCTGAGCCAGTCAGGGGCCTCTACAAATCTGAGACCTGTTGCCATCACAGCCATGGTCCAGAATGACAAGGTTGTATTCGTGCAGCTCATGTATTTTCAGATGTGAGATTCCTTGAAGCAGTATTTTGGTTGGTACCTGGGCAGCAGAACATAGTCACCCACAAGCAATGCTCGTGCAAGCTACTGCTCTACTTCCTCCTCCAGGAGTTGGGTAAGCACAGGTTGCAACTGCACAGTGGGGTCATTACAAGAAAAGGTTTGAGAGTAAGCTACACTGGGTCTTGTGACCATCACTAGTCTAAAACACTTATGAAGTGTCATTATGTTGACAACAAATGCTTTAAACAGCATTTCTTCTTTCTTTATTCCTTAAGATCAGTGACCATGTTGCCACACACAGAATAAGACCAAACTTGTTAACTCCCCTTTCTACGGAAGTTAAAACTGAAGGGTTTTAGCTTCCAAACAAATCAAGAGTAAGTGCTTTGATCATGAGATCCTGTTTACTACAAGACAAAAACCATATTTAAAAACAACATATATGAGGAGTTAGGAATCTAGATGCCAGCCTGATAAATCAGGAGAACCAACTCTGTATTGCCATCTTGTATAGGCCCGTATAACGCAGCCCTGCGCAACTTCAGTCTCCTTTTCATTTGTGTTTCCAGCCAATGTGGGTTTTTCTTCCCTCTCTCAAACACCTGTGTTAAGCCAGCACTTAGAATGCTTCCCTAAACAATTCCACTAAATCATTCCACCATCCTCATGGCAGTAATTCCTAAAAAGCTTATCTTAACATGTCACATATGCAAGAAGGGTGAAGAAAAGGCCATGAAAAGTTAACTAAAATCAAGCTGAGAACATTTCATCCAGAACCAGCAGGTGACCGACAGTTACTCCTTCCTCTCCTTTGTTTGTTTGACCTTCACTGCCCATGTCATGTCTAATCAAAGCTAAGCCCTTACTGCAGGTGTTTTTACAACAAGAGTAATTGCTGTAAATCAAAAAAACATAGTATTTTACAATAGGGAGTTACAGCAAATCACTCCCTAAGAGTACCTGCTTTCTCAAACATACACCTTCTGGACAGGTCAGGACCAGGCAGCAGAAAACAGCAAACTTTAAAATGCAGATACTGAAGAGAATAGTAAGAGATGCAAGTTCTGTAGCGTTTGATGAAAATTGCTGGTTTACAACAGCAAGAAACTCTGTTGTAAAGCACTCATTGATGAATGTCCGTTCAGCCAGAGCATTTACCAGAACGTCTCTTAAGAAAATGTAGGTCAGCCATGGTTCTTAAAACCATCCTTAGGGAACATATATACTTACAGTAGATCCATCAGTAGTAACTCCACGCTTCTACAATGAGTATTGCTTTCTCATCTTTGTTTCCTTCACAGCTAGAGTTCGATACTGGATCAGTAACTAACACACTATCACCTTTGTCATCAAGAAGCTTGTGCTGAAGCAAGTTTCAAGGCTATTACTAAACCCCAGCATTATGGAGTGGAAAGATGGGATAAAAGATTGTTTCTAGCTTCCTCAGGCAGAATTCAAAGAACTTTTGTTCAGGTTTCAACTCCTACCCCTTAGAACATCCTTTTGCAGGTTCTACTTCCAAATCTACATCCTGTCAGTCAGTTCAGCAGTTTATTAAGAACTGTGGATTCCTACACTCCGTTCCTATGATAACAAGAACATTTTTAAAGATGCTGTGTTAGAATTTACCCTTTTAGGTCAGAAGTTTGTAACAGTAGTAATAAAGTCAACAATAGAGCCTAAATTATTATCAAGAAATGGAGCTCAAACTGAGCTGCACACCAGTGATTATCCTTTTCCCAATATTTTTCCCATTTTCTTACTTCTTCTTCCCCCCTTACCGTTGAGACTAATCGCATAACAATGTGCAGCATACTGAATACAGTCACAGGACTGCCTACTGACACCACTGGCACCAAATGCACTTAGTGCCTTGGAATGGTTCAGAATTATAGTTTCAGTAGGCAAGTTATTAAAACATTTAAAATTTATTTACAATTCTCCTTAAAAGGTACAAGAAGCATCTAACACATATTACTAACTAACTATTATACGAATATTGCCTACATGTTCACTAAAAACTATTTTGTGTTAACAGGTGTAACCACGGGCCAGTAGCAAATATTCGTTTTTCACATTTGAGCCAATTATTTTTTAGATACGTGTAGCTCGACTGCTGGAACACCCAATCACTCCTCTTTCCACATCTGATTCCAGCCTCTTTCACGGAAGGTTCACACAGGGGAAAAACTTAAGAAGCGAGGTCTGGCGTTAGTTAACGAGCCGGAGATGTCTTAAGGCGAGCCGTGTACTTGGGCACACCCGGTGCGCAGCCCGGCCTGCCCCCGCGGCCGGCCCGAGCTGCCGGGGCGGTCCCGGAGCAGCCGCTCCGTGCCCCGCGGGGCCGCAGCCCCGCAGTGCCCGGGCAGCGCCGGGCGGGGCCGGACCCCCGCACCTCCCGCCGGGGGGGGTGGGATGGGCCGGCGGGTCCGTCCCGGCCCCGCGGTGCCCGCCGCCCGCCCCGCCGCCCCCCGGCTCTTACCCAGCACCACGGGCGGCCCCGCGGGCCGGCGGCGCGGCGCTCCCCCGCAGGGGCACAGCAGCAGGAGCAGCAGGAGGAGGAGGAGGCCGAGGAAGGGGCTCCCCGCGGGGCGCGGGACGAGCCTGGCGCCGGCCGGCGGGGACATGGCCCCAGCGCATACCCGCGGGGCCGGCAGCGCTGCACGGCCCGGCCGAAGTGCGGCCCCGCCGCCCGGGCCGCGCTCTCAAGGGGCCGCCCGCCCCGCCGGGCCCGCCCCGCCGCGTCAGCGCCGAGCGCGGCCCGGCCCCCGCACCGCCCACACCCCCGGACGGCCGTGTCGGCCCGGCCCCCGCACCGCCCACACCCCCGGACGGCCGTGTCGGCCCGGCCCCCGCACCGCCCACACTCCCGGACGGCCGTGTCGGCCCGGCCGGGGCTGGCGGAGCGCTGAGGAGGGAGATGTGCTGAGGAGCGCGTTTGTCCCGCATGACAACATCTACACCCGCGTGGTCGTGCTGATTGCTGAAAGTAAGGCGCGTTTGCTGCCAAACATGTCTAAAAATAATTAGCGCTTGAGGGGCGTGGTCAGAATGGTTTAAAGGAAAGCAAAATTCTTGGAAGAACTGGGAATTTTAGTATTACACAGTCAAGGGAGTGGGCATCTGATCAGCCAACACCCGACTAATGTAACAGGTAATTTGTACAGAGTATCCCCGAGATCAGGCATTTGACAATACCGAAAAAAAAAATCATTAGACCTCTATACATGTAACAAGTACAAGTAGACCTGTACTGTAGCCTTTGGGCTTCAGCAATACCGGTTAGTAGGGACTATGTTCTCAGTCTGACATAGAGGTCATTTGGTGGGTGTCTGGCTGAGGAGGGGCAGGAGGAAGGGTATCCACAGAAGCAGAAACTAAAGAGTCAAAAAACGGAACTTGGAACCAGTGTAATCACATCTCATGATCAGTCATGATTGTGCTGATGGGCAGGACAAGGTTTCCTTGATTCACTCATATATCTGCTCCTGCTGTAGAAATACAAATTCTGAGCCAGATGTTATCAATCTGTGCTCAGGGTAAAGCTGTTTCTGATAAGGTTACTTTGCAACAAGGGCAGTACTATGTCTACTTTACAGCTCCCTACATTGCTCAGTATGTCTACTAATTTTCAGAAATATTCCTACCTTGAATGGTTAATACACTAGCATGAACGATATCACAAATGAAGACAGGAGTAAAAGACAAGTAGAAGTAGAAAACTACTCATTGACTTAGTAACTACAACCAGCTAAACACATTGTCAGGTATAAAACTGAAACTCTTCTTACCTCACTGAATTCAGTATTCAACAACTTTTGTAATTCCTGAAGAGAGACATGCCAGAGGTCTGTGCATGAAAGTAGAATCTGCTAAAACAGATACACAGCCTATTGACAGGAGTTTAGAAAAATGATGTTGGCTTGGCATTGATGCGGAAGGAGAGACATCTTTCTCCTGAAATCAGACAGAGGAAGAAAATGCAACAAATCATACAAGGAAGCTAGGGCCAAGTCTAAATCTAGACTTGCCTTTTTTCTAGGCAGCAGCCACACCTTGTGTATTTACATTCAACAAACCCAAAGACAGGTGCTTAGTCACCATGCAAGTGGTGACATGAAATGACCTCCTACTAAAGCAAACTACCGCGTGTGCAAGTATGGCTGACTAAAACCAATTGCAACAGTGAAGGTGGTGTAGGAATTAAATGTTACAAAACACAGCAAAAGACCTTCTGGAAGGGTAAAAAACAATATTTAAATGAAAACTTATTTCAGGCACAGTCATTCCCTCACTCAAAAGCCTCAAAATGCACATGTCCAAATAGTCTGGCCAGGATCATCTGTGCTATGACACAGGGCTCATAGGATGACAGCTGTCTTCTACATCTCTTGGGTTCCCTCTGGTGGCATCAAAGCAGTTTTGGGACAGATTTTCTATGCCTTTTAGGAGAGAGTTGTTATGCTTTTTTTTTTTTTTTGTCTCAGCCTAATTTCACCTTCTGTCGATTTCAGGCAAGTTCACTGCCTCTTGTCTTCTTTCTGCAGAGCTGACAGAGGAATGGCCCCTATGATTTTCTGTAAACTTGATGCCATCTTCCCCTTACCAGAAGGCTGGTCTTCTGCTAATAAGACAGTTCTGCTGTAGGCCTCTCAGAGCACAGGCCTTTTGATATACACACTGCACTTGTCAGCATTTACCAGTATAATTGCTCCTATTTGTGTCCTTGGTTATCACATATAACCATTGCCTCATGGATTCTACTCAAGATGCCACACAGAGACATTTCCATACTCAATTCAAACCAATCTTAATATTTTCTTGACAAATTTCTGTGCTGTTCTGGTAGCTAGGAAGGTCTTCACATTTCACTAAAAATCTTTATATCTAATTCTTTTCCAGGAAAAGTCCACTAAGCACATAACAGCTACTCCTCCTGTTCTGCAAGCCCAGGCTCTTTAGATAACAGTTTTTCAGCTGTTGAATCAAGTAGTGTATGTTAGTTATTTTTTGTTGTCTCCTTTTGGGAGATCAGGACCATTCACATTCAAAGACATTACATTCAAAGTAAAATAAGCTTTTTGCCTTTGTAAGGTTGTAAGGTTGTTTAAATATGCCCAGCAAATTTCTGTTTCCACATTGAGTCCCTGGTCCTATTGTCACACATACCAACAAACCCGGGAACCTGGACATATGGCATTGCTTTCCAGCAGATGATACCCTGCTATTAATTGAGTCAGTGTAACTATTGCTTGGTGCTGTTTTGTTAGAAGGGCAATCCAGCTCTTTCGCCATGGAGGATGACTTGACAGCAGGGCATTTGTAGATTAACAGCAGTTCAGGAACATGACCAGTCATTTTCCAAGGCAAATTCAAAAAAATAACAGAGCCAACTACACATCTGAACTGCCAGTAAAATGCCAGCTTATTATTATACAAAATACATGCTATATACTGCTTCCTTCATGTTTTGTATCCAAAGCTGGCTAGAAATGTAAAAGGAAGTTATTACACTTGCAACTACTGATAAAAGGAGTACTGCATCTTCTTCACCTCTATATGAACTGAAAAAAAGCATTATCCATACTTCAGAGGCCAGTTTGTTACCACTATAGAGATTTTTTTTTAATGTGCATAATCAATCTAATAAGAAAATATTCATTTCTTAAAAAAAAAACCCACCAGAAATAAACTATATTAAACACCAGAAACTACAGTATCAGTAACATTATCTTTGTTTAAGTCTCCCTGAGGGCTTGCACTGGCAACTTGACAAAAACCGTGAATTGGATATGAGTTTGCACTCTGGTTATTTAAAAGAAACAATCCTTTCCAGAAATCTACTATTTGCTTAAATGTCTTTTATTTGATTGAACAGAATTCTTTGTTTGCTTATGATCTTTGCCATTTAAGTAGTGTTTGCATTGGCTCAAATACCTTCAAACACGACTGTGCTGAGCTAGACACACAAGTAGAAAACAGCCAGTTACAAAGATGTGAAGACAACCAAAGTGTTGCCACAGGTCTACCCTGTACTTGCATATCAGCACAGTAGCACAGTCCCAGGGCACAATGTGACATGCATTTGAACGGGGGCTGCAAAGGCACTTCTTCCTTTCACTTCTCCCTGCATCCTCAGCACTTCACATTCACTTCCGTGTTGTTCCCCATGGTGCTGCTCAAGAGCATCAGGATGATAAACAACACTCGTGTTCCTCATTGTCTTTCAGGCTAAATTTGGTTGCAGTGTCAAACAGGGACCCGAAAAAAAGAGAAGAGAGCAATTGGGTAGTGGGAATACAGAAATGCAGGCTTACACGATCAACTAGAAACTCAGAACCTACCTGTTCACCAAGATAGGATATCCACAATTAACAGACCTGGTCAGTGCCATCTCTCCTATCTTCAAGCCTTTAATCTATATAATAGAGATCATATTATTCTTTTGGCTCATTTTTTGCCCTTATAAACTGTTCGTGTAATAGAGCTTCACAGTAAATTCTGAGGATCTAATGACTAAGAAGCTGAAGTTCAGAACTTGTGCTCAAAGAGGATTTTATTAGAATCTGGGAGTGAGAAATTCTCAGCAAGAATGCTGGGACTTAAGGTACTGGGAGTTTTACTCAAGATGTACTCAGAGTTGGTGTTCTGGGTTGGGCCACCAAAGAATTTTGAAATTGAAGCTAGGCAAAATATGGAAGTTTCAAAAAAATATATAAATGGTGGCACAGGAAGATGGAAAGAGCAGATACAGTTTTGTATAGGGTGAATATATGAGGAAAGGTGTTGAAAATACAATCTACGATATGATGAAAACTGAGTAGGTTGAACCCTCAGGGACAGTTAATGTCTTGCACAAGTTCCCACAAATTACAACAACTTCCCAGCACATTGCATGAGCAGTAGAACCTGACATTTTTTGCTGTGCAGAGAAACTTGTACCCTCTGAGGCAGAAAGGTGATTGTAATCTGCAGGCAGGATACTTTTCAGGTGAGAAGACGACTTTGAGAGAAAGCAGAATTCTGCATGATGTTGTTGTAGGGCTTAATATGTCTTCCAAGATTAAGGGTGGGTGGGGAGGGCCCAGCGACATGAGTCAGGCAGCAGCATTTCAGGGTTCTAGCTCACATATAATGAAAAGGCAAGAGACCACTGTTTAATAAGCAGTTCCAGCCAGTGTCACACCTGTTTGGTATCCCAGCTGGGCAGGGTGTCTGGGAAGTTGCTGAGAAGTACAGGGCTTAGGAAATCTGCTATCTCAAAGCTACTTCTGAAGAGACACAACCCTGCTACTGCTATATCCAACTGATTACTCACAAGAGTGAACCCATTTCTGAAAACACGGCTGTGTCCAGAAGAACTGAAGGTGCTGTCAGTAATTTAATTATGTATTGAGGGGGATGTTGGTTTTTGTCTAGTCTCCTTAAGGTTTCATTCACTCATTTTCAGTGCTAAATTGTTCCAACACCCAAGGATGGAAAAAATCTGATCATATTTGTTGAGAGACCCCAGCCTATAAGAAACAATCTGGGAGTTCCTCTTTAGGGGGTGCATTAAAAAATGAGCTGATGAGAGTTTACCTGAATTTTAAGGAATGTGTAAATTTTTTTTTCTTCATTTTGTATTTATGGCTCTTTGGATCTGAAATGTATGTGCAATCCCATTAAAAGATGCATCTATAAAGTAAATGGTCATCTTAGAGGTGTAATATACATAGATGGCTCATTTATTTTCTACCCTTTGAATACAGATTATCACATTAAAAACTAGATATGAGTAGGAAAACTGACTACAGTTAAGATCCAAATAAGACAGACATACATTTTACCAAAGTTTCTTGATTAACATTAACACCCAAACAAAATTAACAAGATTACAAAATTAATTGTTCAGATCTGAGTTTCGATTGTCACTGTGCGTAAAAATAAATGCCTACAAATGCACAGGCACTTACTGTGTACCATCCTTTGAGCATATTAAGTTAAAAAGTATTGCTTGATTATTCCTGTGAGCATATAGTTCCATTCTAGACTGAGGGACACAGGCAGTTGGGAATGTTTAATCAGGGGAAAATGCCTTAATCAGCAGCATCACAAGTATCACCATGTCAGGCTGTGTCAAACATGTCAGTGCAAAAATATAGTCATAGGAAAATTAAGGTTGGAAGTGACTTTTGAAGGTCATTATTCTAATCCTTGTGTTCAAATCATAGTTAGGAACAAATTTGGATCAGGACAGCTATTCTGTTGGGCAAATAAGTGGATACAAAATGAAAATTCTAAAAAATTCCACTGTTTCATATAGCACATTCCTGGTATTAACACTGAAGAAAAAGCATTTTGAACAGGGGCATTGAACTAACCTGTCATGCTTTAAACTGCATAATGATGTTCTAGAGACTCTGTGCGTGTTAGAAAGAAGAAGCTTGCCAAAGACTATCTGGACATTGTACTTTGAGAAGATGGACTTAGTGGAACAATTTTTACTTTTTTTTAATTAGCATGCTAAAGACAGCTTGAGACACTGTAAATATTTCTGCTGTGCTACACTGACAATAGACTAACACTCTTAAGAGTTTCTTCGTGGTATGGTGAAATTAATTTGGCTATCAGTACTTGGCAGCTGGAACTGAAGCTGCTCAGATTACAGCTATAGAAGCAGTAGAAAATGGGTACTGCTATCATGTGACATCAAAACAAATTTTCTGCTGAAAGCAAAAAATAAATGAGTTTTCATGTGGCAGATAAATTTGTCTCATGATTTCCTGTAAAATGTTATATGATTATGGGGCAATTTCAACTCTTTTACTTGGACCTTATCCCAACATAACTTGTAAAAACAATGTTACTGTGTTTGTGTGTTGCAAAGATGCTTTGATTAGCTGCAGAAAACAATTCTCTTAAAGCTTCTCTCTTACTCTCTTCTATGGGATATTTCCTCATTTGGACAGTCTGCTAGACGGTACTGATTTTTTCTTGTTGTGTTTACACAAGACGATTGTTCTCAGATGACATAGAAGGACTAATAGTGTTCAAAATGTAAGTTCTTTTTAAAAGTCTATTTTAATTCTGGTTTTATATGTTTTGGGGTTTCCTTCCTGACATCTGTGTAAACTTGTGTAGAAGTTAGTATTACATGATGGCAATACCCTAGAAAATTCAGCCTAACCCTGTTCAATACCTCGATCAGAGGACTGGAACGTAGATAAGGTTTGTGACTGGATCTGGGATTTGTCGTGATGGGGGGATCCCTAGCACTTTGATCAACAGACATCAGCAGTGTCTAACAAGAGTCCTAGCCATGTTTTCCCTATGTTCTCTGTTTTTCACTCACTAACAGACCTCAAAATGTGCCAAACCCCAGCCCAGTTCAGGGTGTATTGCACATAACAAACATTTTCTGTGCCACCAAGAGGTACCTCCAGCTAATACAGAGGGGAGCCAAGGCAGCAGAGCTGCAGCGATGGTTTCAGTGATGCTGTGGTCAGATATCACACATCTTGGTTCATACCTTGCAACTCCAAAGACAGGAAAACAGCAATCATGCAAAAAGCATTGCCACACATTTACTGTGTCGGAAAAGAACAGATATCAAAGAGATACCATTCAGTACCATAGGGGATTAAATGTTTCCCACACAGCAAAGCAGAACAAGACACAGAGCTACCAAGAAAAAACTAACATACAGAATTAAAGCTGCCTTCCATACCATACCAAATAGTGGCAATGGTAAATTATACTTGAGTTTTAATGGTTTAAGTACAAAATAGGATACACAACAAGCAGAGATACAAAGCTCTACCAGACAGAGGATAACCTATGGTTTAAGGATTATAAGGTAATTGCATCACATGAAGATTTCTATGATTGTGGAGCATCTAGAGTAAATGAAGGAAGAACGACACAGTGACCTTTGGAACAATCTTCTAAACGCTAGAGCACAGACTGGCATTGAGAAAGACAAAAGCTAACTATTATTTTTGTGGTTTGAATGTAAACTAAACTAATCCACAATTTAAGAGAAAAAAGAACATTTTTGAGTGCAGTATGGGCAGCCAAGCTGTCCTCCTTGTCACACTGCAGCAGGGTCAAACAAATAGACTTGAGATGGGAGATCTTGGACCTCCATGTGACTTGATTTGTTTTGTTTTCCCTCATCAGCACACTGTGGTTTAATTGAACTCTTGAACTTCAGTCTGTTCCTCTATCTGAAAGAGAACATAACTGAATGAAGAGATGATGGGAAGCATGGGATGATTGCTATGCAGGGTACAGAAAGGCATGGAGCTGTATTCATGTATGCAAGAACACTTCAGGCTGCAACTAAGAAATGACAACAGATGCAGGGTTTAATTGTTTAATCAAGGAAGGACTGTGGAAAGGGGGAACAGGGATCTGCTGTTCACTGTTTTTCCAGCATATGAACTTGGCAAGCCAGATGAAAGTAACAGGAGACCAGCAACCAAACAAAATGAGGAGGTTCTTCACACTGTGTGAATCAAAGCTGCAGTGCTAGAAGTTCACTGAAGTTCAAGGATAGGCCTAGGAAGTCTACAGAGACCACAAAACTTTATTAAATACACAAAAAACATCTCTGATTCAGGACACTGCTCAGCTACAAAGGACTAAATGCCAGAGAATATGTGAGGCAAGTATAGTCACATGTGGCTTGTTCTTATATTCTTTCCTAAGTACCTGCTTTTGGCTGCTACCAGGGACAAGATCCTGGCTAAAAGGACTTTTTGGTCTGACTTAACACTAGAACATAAGAAATAAGACAGCCTAAAACCAGATCATGTTATTAGTCTCAAGATTCAAATGTAGGAATAATATATCAGATTACTTTAGAGTCTAATAGCCATTCCTTATATTAAGATCCATGAATAATTATATTTTTTTAAGTAAGAAAATTGTGCTAGCTTTTCACTTTCTGCCAGTGAAAACACGTTCTTCATTTGATGGAGAAGTTATCATTGTTCACAGCCATTTCTGATATTATATAAAAATTCTACAGAAGCAATAGATCACATTACAGAATGATAAAAAATTACCTGTGCCTGAAGATTGCGTATCTTACACATATTCCATACAGTATATTATGGGTGTGCTTAGTAAAGAGCTGTAACTGAGTACTTTTTATTTCAGATTGCTTGGACAAGATCACTCTGAAGAGCAGCATGGTACAAAGTGCTGGTTTCTGTAGCTGTGCAGAACAGCGAGTCAGGTACGGTAATTACTGCGTACCGAGGGCGTGGGCATTCCTCTCCAAGTTTCTTCAGCTAGCACACCTACAGTGGCTGCTGCAGAGCAGGAGAACAATCTTTGTATTCCTCTTAAAATTAGTACAGTCTTTCTAATCTCAGCACAATTAACCAGCCTCCTGATACAAGGCCACAAAACCAAGACTTCATGACACACTAGAGCCCAAGCTAGTGGTATTAAAGGAATTAAATTAGTCTTGAAAAGTGTTCAAATCTGCTGAGCGGGGTTATTTCACAACACGAGATACCACAATTTGATCTGCTTTTCAAAAAGACTACAAGAAGACACAAATAGAACTACACTGAAGGACCAATTGTCAATATATTTACCAAACTTTGTTCCTTCAGAGGCATAGAAAAATAAATTTATTTAATTAAAATTATTGTTGTTTTTATTGCAGAAGGAGCTTCCATTACTGCCTCAGTTACAGCAGAATGTAACATTGGAAATGGATATATATCAAAACAGAACTAAGAGAGCTAGAAGTATGAGTGTTTAGAAAATAATGTGATCTACAACACAAAAAAGATATTGTGATTTTTATCTATAAATTTATCAAAAAATTGGAAACAATACTGAAATTTTGGTCACAACAATCTAACCTTCTAATGGCGGAGAATCTGTTCTGGGAAGACCCGTGGCCTTGAACGGCGTGCAGAGAAAGGCCTCAGCTCCACGGTCTGCAGGCGTAGCCAAAAATCAATAGTGCCGCCCTGTGCTGAAAACACAGAACTACACGGGCGGAGCCCTTGACGTAAGGTCATGCTCCGGGAAACAGCGCGTGCTCGGTTAACGAGCAAAACAACAGGAAAACAGGCGCTGTAGAGTATGGGTTTGTGGTTTTACTCACAGATCCTTCAGTAAGAGATGCGCTGCTAAAGACTTTCATCACTCTGATGAGTAACACAAAGGGACATTGATCATACACTAAAATAATATTTACATGCAATCCCAGTAAGCAAGGTAAAATGGCCGTAGGTTTAGCGGGGAAAAAAAAAAAAAATCAAGTAATGTTTGGCAGCAAATCGTCCAAGCAGTATTTATCATTAATTTATTACTCAACAGGAAGAGTGTGTAAATGCTGTATTTGATTTACCCAGTAGCAATTGTAGTGCCAGATATGCTTGTGTAGATAAGGATTTTGGCCAGCACCAGTTTGCAGACATACAAATAACAAATTAGTGATAGCTGATTCAGAGCAGGCCAAGGTCTCACCTTAAACTGTAACAAATCTATACATTTACTGTTCAAAACTTGTACTGTAACAAGAAACTAAAATTGTGTACATAATAATGTTGAGAAAAGATATATCTATAAGTTTTTCATGATCTCTGCATAATTGTTATTCATATTCCTGCTTATAGTCAGAATTATAAATATAGTTCACTACCTTAATGAACACCTCTAATATAATGCACCATGGAAATGTTTTCTGATTGCCAGTGATCAGTCTGTTAGGGCAAGAGAGGTGGAAGTTATGTAAACATGTATGGTGTACATACAACAGGGGCCTTGTAAGCACTTCCCCTGTCAAAGTTCTAAAGCAGTTTCCCTGAGCATAACAAGAAGGAAATCTTCTCTCTAGCCAGTCATATAAAATTGTCATTATTTGCCACTGAGCTGAGTAAAGGAAACAATTTTTTAATATCTTTAGAATACTGATTAACAACCCAGCACAGAATATTTCAAACTTCATAGTGCAACATACACATATTTTATTACATTCTGGAACTGATGCCAGGGTAGCTCTTCACAAAGTTATTTTCTCTTTAATAAAGCAGCACTGAGAGTGTTCTCACTTACACTTGCTGTCACAAAGTGTTTGCAAGACCGTAGAAATGTCTGGGGTGTGTCTTTTCCTACACTTCACTTTCCTTTGCAGTAATTGCAGAGCAGAGATATTAACAGCGGCTTTGCACCCCCGTGAAATCCCGTTTATATAAGAGACTCTCCTGTAATCAAGAAAGCAACACTTAAGTCAGCTGTGAACTAGCCTGTAGTTTTCTAATCAAGGCATTCTAATCAACACATCAAAGTGTGTCATTTTCACACCATTGAATTGAGCTTTTTATAAAACATTTGTCCACCTACAAATACTACCTTGATTCAATGGCTGAAGAACTCAGGGTAACTTCCTCCCCTCAGCATTAGCAGGCAAACAAGGTTATAACATCAGTTTCCAGCGTCTCAGCAGATACATGATAATGGGTAATCATTATTCTACAATCATTTGCTAGACAAACATCCAGGGGATCCTTCTGAAGACAAAATTTAAAGAGGATTTTTAAAGTCTTTTTGGTACAGCTCTTGGTATAAGTTATGTGTTACGGATTTGCCATGTCTGTCAGTCCTTACAGGGATGCTCTTAACTGCATGGAGGGGTGGATGCACTTTGTGCAGAGGCTCTGACCCAAAGACTCTCAGAATCTTGAAGGTAAATTCTGATTCTCAGAATAAATATGCAAAAGCTGGAAATAGCAATCCTAATTTACATTAAGTGGTGCAAACACAGCTGTTTGAAAATGCTTAGTGGTGGTGTAAATTACAGAGCATCCACCAGAGGGAAGCTCATGCATGCATTCGAAGTGAAATAAATAATTCGAAAGATGAGTGAAACACAGCTGATATTTTGGCCAAAGCAAATTCTATTCAAAGTGTTTTGTAACAGTAGCACAGACTTCTTGAGCTTGGAAATTTTTCAGAAGTTATTTGCCAGTCTAAAGGTAACATACTTACAGAAAGTTTCCCATGTTGATGATTGAGTTGTTGCACTACACATAATATGCATGCGCACAAAAAAACTTCAGATTTTTTTTTTAAACACAAAGATGCAGCCTAATTTCACTTCTGTTGATAAATTAGACCAGAGCTTCTTGGTCCGAAGTCCAAATTCACGGCTCCCTTCGTTAAAGGTCCACCCACATTTGGTCATTAGAGTGAGCAAGATACTGAGTTGTTCAGCCACTGTTGTGTTTTGCATGTAATTGAATATACTACGTTGCTCCCCCTATTAATGGAAACATTTGTGAAGTTTTCCATTAAGTTTGTGTACTACTAATGTAAATTTGATGACAGTCAGACACTTTTAGAGAATATTGAAGACTGCTGACAGTCTGCAGTTTTCACAGTGAGCAGAGTCACATAGAGCTCTTCAGAAACATGTTCCCTAGCTAACATTAGCTCTAATATCTGTGATATTTAGTCTAATAGCATGTCTTCAGAGTCTTATTCAAGCAAATCTTAGCATGTCAATACTTCTCCGGGATCTTTTTAGAAACAGAAATCCCAGTTCAGAGACTCATTTGTTTTCTTGTTCAAATGAAAGATATAGGCAGAGGCCATCTGGCAAAGGACAGATGCTTTGGAAGTTCAGCCAGATCCACACACCACTGGATTAGAACTATACTAACAGCAATGGTTGTACAGACAACTGCTCTTTTCCGACAAAAGGTTGGTTTCACTTAAAGAACCTACCAGTCCCTGTAGCACTGCGTGACAACAGGTACTGGGCATCTCTCTTTGTTATTTTTTTTTCCAATAATAATCTGCATCTTAGTTCAATCTAGATAACCCACTGGCAATAAATTAAGAAAAAGCCCTGATGAAGTTAATTCTGGAGAAATAATGTGTATAAAGATGATTTCATTTGAAGAAGGAAGGTTACCCAGTACTTCCTGTTAATTTTCACAAGTGGTTTTCAGAAATTCCCTTTAGAATACAAACTACTTGGTTGGGATTTTCCCCTACCCGATCTTTATTAAATGTAGTTAAAAATGAAAGGAACTGGAATCATGTATCAGATTAAATCCAAATTAAAGTCTTTATTACACAAATAGTATTTTGAAGATATAATACTTCAGTGGAGTTATTTTGGATTTGCTTTTGATCTCATTATAGTTTTATGAGATCAAAACCAGCTAAGCTGATTTGGGGGTGATGATGTTGCAATCCTTTTTCCATGGTGAAAAATACTTTTCAACTTGATACTATACACTATATTTGCTGGGTTTATAAAATTAGGAAAATAATATGTATCACATTCTTAAATTTAAAAAAACCTATGCCTAACTCCTTCATTTCTGTGAATCTTTTCTCATGGTAAATACCCTTCCAGTTTCACTTCTGTGACTCTTGAACATTTCTGTTGGTGCTGCTGTTTTAGTTCCTTTAACATTTCAGAATTTAACTTCAAAAGAAGATGTTTTGAGATCAGAATAACAAAACAGTTTCAAATTCTTTGGCCAGATTCTGAAGAATTTAGGATACATTCAGGAGGACAACATAATCATATATTTTCTCTCTGACATGGAGCATTTCCTCCTATAAACCTGTATCCAGACTGGATATTCTCATGGTTATTGTTTGGCTAAAGAATGGCAATTTCCCAGAGAATTAGAAATACAGGCCTAACCCACTTTATTGTACCAAGACAATCTCACTAGAGGGCACGTGTTGATTTCCTCTATGCCAGTGTATTTCTAAATTGTGGTTGACTGTTTTCTGCTTAATTAAAAGAGATGACTTGAAGGCAGTAAGCACAAGTTTTTATGCTTTGAAGCAGAAATTGACATCAAACGTATAATGCACTTTTGTAGTTTATCTGACACCCCTCTTAGTTTTTTCGTTTCTATAAAATAAAATGTTGAGTTACTCATGTGAGCAAGAGTAGAAGAGCATAATGAGGGTTTCTGCTCAGAGCTGTTGATTAGATCAGTAACTTCAAGAAAGTAGTGAGTGTCTTTAAATAAGGACACCTGAGAAAGACCACCAACAAGCTTCAAAATCTGCTAAAGCATGATGGATATAAAACTAAAAGCAAAGTCAGATGCTGCACTGTATTTTTATTTTTGCTTTGAATGCAAAAATGCACATCTTCCTAAACAACAGGAACTGCCATATGTGGTCAGATGTCTGTAAGAGCCAGCATGAGGATGTGAAATCATAGGCCACATTACCTTACAGAGGATCAGTTAAAGAACTTGACTAACACCTTCGGAATAAAAGCAGAGCCCAGAGCAGTCAAGAACTGAAGAATTTCTAGAATGAGTCAAGCTGAGGAAAGCAGTATCTACTCAACATGGAATATTGTGAGATCAGTAGTCTGCGTAATACTGAGCTTGTCATTTATTATTGGGACCCCTGGAAACTGCATCGTCATCTGGACTGTTTTTAGAAAAATGAAGCAAGTATCTCTTTCAGTCCTACTCATCTTGAACCTGGCCATTGCTGATGTCCTTGTACTGATCACTTTACCAATCTGGATTTACTCCTTTGCTGACTCATGGGTTTTTGGACTTGTCTTCTGCAAAATACTGGTTTTCATTATTTACTGCAGCATGTATGCAAGTATATTTCTAATTACAGCACTGAGCTTGGAGAGGTTAGTGGCTGTGTTGTACCCTTTCACAATTCAAAGATACAAAAGAAAAGAAAAGATTTCTTTTATCGTGTTCCTCATTTGGTTCCTGTCTATTACTTTTGGCATTTCTGTCATTCCATTTCAAGAGACAGAAGAAATGAATGGTCAACTGCTGTGCACATGTCGCAGCTACTCTTCTAACAGACAGAAAGTGTCATATCTTTTGCTGGAGACCCTTGCTGGTTTTGTAATCCCTTTTTTCATTATTTGCACTTGTTATGTGTGTGTAGCAAGAAGAATAAGCAGAATGACTTACCAATCTAAGCAGCGATCAGGACGTCTCATTGCCAGCATTGTGGTGGCATTCATTCTATGCTGGTTCCCTCACCACGTGTTTAACATCCTAGATATTATTTCGATTGAAATAGAACTCTCTAATGAGGAGGTGTCTTTGGCACTGGATAAAATTGTAGACAAAGGAGTGTACATCTCTGGAGCGCTTGTATTCATCAGTAGCTGTATTAACCCTCTACTTTATGCTTTTGCTGCACGAAGATTTCAGAATCACCTGAGATTTGCCAAGATGTCAAAGCTGTTTGAGCAGATGAGTCAGACTGTAACAGAGGAAGACAAGAAAAGAAGTTTGGTTGTAAACAAACAAGAAGATCCTTTAGTAGGCACAGAAAATCTCTAACAAGGAACTCAGTGATTAATCTGTGTCATTTCTTCAGTAGTCCTTTCTCCTCATTCTCTAGTTTCATTTCTTAAGCAGTCCAGGGAAAGCTAGAGACAGATAAAAGCTTTTTGATTTGTTGTTTTTTTCCTGTGTGCTTTATAAGAATTGGCACTGACAGCCTAGTTCAGTTCATAAGTTAATATCCATGTCACAAAATGAGCATTATTTCACTGTTGCTGAGGACCTCAGCAAGGTGAGTAGAAGCTCAAATTGTAAGGAATACAGCATTTTTACTTTCCATTAATATTATTTCTGATTACTAGGAAGTCTGTGAGCAGAAAATAACTCCTCATGGAAAGGAAAGGCTTTGAAAGTTTAAAACTAAGTTTTCTTCAGAAAAAAATTGTTAGATGGTCAAAAATCCTTATATAATCTAAAGTTTTAAGAGTCCAAAGTTAAATTCTTGATATGGGTAAGAAGTTTTAAAGTACAATAATGACATACTCTTCTGGGTAGGTAGAAAATCTAAAGTAATTTTACTCATTGTTTAAGTCTGAAAATAATAATTTTTGTTTACACAGTCTAGCTCCTTCACTGCATTACCTTGTGGTAATAGGTTTGAAAAAGTCAAATGTGTGTGACACATCTCCAGAAAAAAAAAGGGATATGAGAATGCTGTGTTGTGTGACAAACATCATTACAGACTGCACACTGTATTTGATGTCAAACACATTGCATACTTCAGTGGCAATTGAACTATTGATGTTCTAAATATATATACTCTTAGTATCCTCAAAATTTTTGGTTCAGTTAAGCTTCCAAGATGTCTATCAAATTATGGAGGAACTGGATCATCCTTAGGTGAGAAGGAAGGAGAGATCCTTGATACTATTTGTAACGTGTAAGAAAATATAGTAGCAGTACAAGGTATATAACATCAGAAGAACTTCACTTTGCAAATAGGAGTGTTGCTTTTTCTTCTCTTGTAGAATAGAGTGGACTTTACCATAAGAAACTGATAAATTTAGTACTTGCAAGGAATTCAGTTTTGTTTATGTGTGCAAACTCACTATGAAATACTGCATGTTATCAAGTGTTTGCTTTTGAAGTTCTATTTATTTCAATTGTGCATAACATTTTTATGCTTACTTTTCTTAATTTTTAAGTCAAAAATTTGTAATAAGATCAATATAACTACTGATTAAGAAACATATTGTAAATTCCTGTATCTTATTCTGGACAGCTGCTAAATAGTTACTCATTCTTACAAAGAAATTACAAATACTAACTAGAACTTAATTTTCCAAGTCTGATTATGTCACAACTAAGCATATTTAAGTTGTATTAATTTGACTTGTAAACTGAAATAGCCATGGGGAAGTAAAATCCTTAGCTAATGGAAAAATATTTCTCTAAACTTTGCGTATGTATTTGTTATTCCTGCTTGTTATCAAAAAGTCATTATTTCTTCTCAATACGAGAAAAGTCCACAGCAGAGAGGGCTTTCCTTCAATAGAATTCCTTCACTGAAATTAAAGAAAACTTGAACAAGACCTTGTTTGCAGCAAAGAGTAAGCAACAGATGAAGCCCTTTAGACTTTACCCCATCCACCTACAACTCTTTTTTCATTCCACCAATGCCTCTTTAATTGTTATTAGTACATTTAGTATAACAATATGACATTATCTCACAAAGAAAGCAGTACCTTTAGTTATCTACCACATAAAAAAGTGAAGTTGTATTTCCCAATATGTTCTAGAGATAAGAGTCACTCACTATTCAACAACAACACAGTCCAGATGAGATCGACTGTCTCAGGAGCATGTGAGCACTGCAACTGAACTAGAGTCCTAGGCCACAAGGAGCCAAGCATTTCACAACTCACAGGATGGGAAAAGACCCAGATAAATTCTAGTTAGCTACCTGACCAGAATTTTCCTTTCTATCACTCTGTGCCCTATACCTACCATTTTCTGCCTCAATATTCAGTTCTCACATTTTCTCCACTGCTTTTTACTCATAACTGTGCTATTAAAGTAAAACATGTGGTCTGTTCAAGGAGCTAGAGCTGTCTCTTGTGTTCTCATTAATGGCCTTGGACAGCTGCCTCCAGTAGTTAGTCATCTTTAAGAACTCCGTTTCTTTTGAAAGCTCTTTGAGGTGTAGTAAAATATACTAAAACAACAATCTTAACTTATTTCACTTTTATATAGAGCAAGTACAGTTAGTTCTTGCAAACGCTGGTATGCCCAGGTAAAAGCCCCGCTGTAAGTGGGACCGTTGGAGTCAATGTCAGTAAGGTTCACTGCTGCTTCCTTTAGCAGGTAAACATCAATGTAGCCAGATCTACCACTTCATCTATGCCAGCACGCTCTATCACCAAGCAACAGGAATTCCAGTAGGCCCATTCAACCAATGGACAGTGGATCTTCTCCTCTCCTAAAGTACTGAATCCCAGCCAAGCAGAAGGTGTAGCATAGATTTTGTGCAAAATGCTGCATCTTACGATAGCAATGCTTCATGCTTCTTGTTGACTGCCTTACAAATCCATCTCACAGATTATATTGGAAGACTGGTAGAAAACAAAGATTTTCCTTGCTTGTTCAAGCCAGATCAAAATAGTGACTTGAAGGTGAGATCAGTCTTGCTAGTAACTCTTGAGACACTCGCTCTTCTGAAAAAAATGAGGTTTCATGTCATTTGAGTTCCTCTTATTTTTCATACTTGCTAACTCTTCCATCCTTGTTTGTGAAGTCTATCTCTGTGGTTTCAGTGTCCAGCTATTTCTCATGACACAGCAAGGACGAAGGCTGGGCTAAGGCCACTTTAGTCACCTGAGTCAAATCATCTCAGATTACACTGAAGTACAGGGAACATGATGTGGAATCAATGCAATACTGCTTAGAACACTGAGTACCAGGAGGTGACCACATAGTTTGATTCTGTAAAAATTAATAATCTTCTAACATTTATCTCCTAACATTAAAGTCTTAACCAGTCTGAAACTTGCTGTGAACATTCCATGGGTTTTCATCAGGAATTTTTCATGTTTGCTGTAGTAGGCTCATGCTGCTTAACAGGGTTGTGAATTCATGCTGTATTAACAGGATTGAAGGGAAACCTGAAGAATTTTTAGTTCATACATAACCAATATACAAGAAGGATAAAAAAGATCATAAAGAAAAAGCATCAGCCTTATACCTTTTGTTACCTGCTGACATCATCAAAACATTTCTGTAAGCATCATGGCAAAAGAGTTATATCAGATGTCTGGATTAAAACAATGGAGCTTTGTGTATATTTAGAGGCAACAAGGGATATGAGAGATCTTTATTTGCAGGCAGAAACAGGGAAACTGCATTATACTAAGGAAATCTTTTTTTCCTTTTTTTCTTTTAAAAACCATCAGAATATTTTGTAGGAAGAAGTAGAGCAAAGTTAAGAGACATTTTAAAGACAGTTAAGGCTGCAATTGTGGAACTCTTAGGCTTACTATTAACAGGAGTAAAAGAAAGATTTGCCTGCAGTGCTTGTGTTAAAGGAATAATAGAACCTGAAAGCTAACAGATGGCACAGAAACAACATAGGAATGCAAATTCTTTCACTTTCAAGCAAGAGTCTGGTACAGAATAAATATTTTAGAAGATGCAGAATTAGCAAGTATTAACAGTGGTGAAGATTTTCTCTACAGGTTATTCTAACTCTTGTATTACTCCCTTTGTGCATTTATTGGGAAAGGGGAAGAGGAAGGTAAAGTTGTTGGCTCTTTTTTGAGTATAAAAGCATGAGAAATAGGTCAGTTAAGATTATTAAGAACCATATGGACTTAGAACAAAAATGAGAAGTTCAGCTATGAAAGCTGAGTATACAAAGAGAACAGACAGGGAAGTGAAAGCTACTCTGTTGCAACACAGTTTCAGATTTTTGTAAATGCTTTCTTGTCAGATCAGTCAATCACTAAAACAGTTCTTTATTAGAAAACTTCTCGGTGTGATCTCCACTGGTAGTTAATTGGTTAAAGAAAAAAATCCAGTTATACAGTTTAGAGACAGAACCCTGTCCTCTGAGAGGGCGAGTAGCTTATGCTGCTCCTGTTAGCATGAAGAGTTGGGTGTGACCAGGACTATGGCCACGGGAATTTCAGAAACTTTACAACACTGTTTACAGTTCTAAGAAAGTTCTTGCTCTGACAGGTATGGAGATAAGAGAATCATATGCAATCTGACTCCTTCATGTGTTCTTTCCCCTTAAATCAATTATTTTAAAAGTCATGCGGGTGGTTCTTAGTAAGGATTCAACATTTTAAACCAGATTCATTTAAGTTGAAGAAAGGTTCAGGTTAGAAGAAAATTAATTTTATGGAATGTGTCAAATCAGTGATTTAAATGACAGAATTAATGAAAAAGATGCACTGGAATCTTCCAATACATGTTAAAGAGTCACAGCTCTTAAGTTAGGAATTTATACCTCTGTTATGACTGCAAAATCCGCTTATTCTTCATTTAATAGAAGTCAGATATTTAAACTACATCTTGATGGCAAAAATAACTGGATACACTTCAGTTTCAGCTGCAGTTGTGTAGGTACTAACAGTGAGAACTGTACTGAGACATCTCAAAACATTAGTGTATTGTAATTACGGATGTCCATAAAGTGAAGGGGATGTCCAGATGGCTTTAAATCAGAGGATTATTAGTTTAGACTGCCTCTACTAGATCTTAAAGTGAAAAAGCAGACTTTTCATTTTTGCACAGTGGATCTGTTTATGATGTAGCACATTACATAGAAAATTCAGGGCTAAATATTTCATTTGCAGAGAATTATGAATTTGAAGCACTACTTACAGCCTGTCATCAGCCTGGTAGTGTCACTGTAAAAGCAACCATAGGAAAATAGCCATATGAGGATCACTTCTGGTCATTGCATCAGTGATGCTGTGGGAAGATGTGGCAGTGTGAACAATCTGAAAACAGGTTGCAGATTCCGCATCTTAAGTGCACTACATACCTTCAAAAGTTACTGTAATGTTAACATTCACTATATAATTCCTCACTGAACTTGGTCAGTAGTAGCAGAAGCTAAGAAGTCATGGATGCTTTTTTAAGCATTATAACTAATGAATTATGTTAATGTCCATTAAATTTAAAAATATAGCCAAGAAGCTTCAGCTGTGCTGTAGAAGGGAATGTCACAGTTACAACTGATTGAAGGATTTAGCAGGGAGGTTTTTTACATGCCTTGCTCTCTCCTGCCACTATGTGGCTTTTCCATTTAAAAAAAGTTAGGCCTAATTATGATACTCTGGAAGTCATTGAAACAAGTGGTGAAGTACTTTGTTCATTGTTTAATTTGTGAACCATATTTAAGGTTCAAGTCATTGAAGCAGAAAGGTTCACAAAAAACCACAACAATATATAAAGCATTCAAGTTCTATTCATTTCAGAGTGACCTAATTGGTCTTTTTCTTAGTTTTCAGGAGCCCAAGCCCCACTGTTTCAAACATTGCATAAATTAAGCAAGCTGAGAATGTCTGACAGAATATAATAACCTCATGCCAGTTGGTGAAAAGTCTATGCTGAAAAAAACTTTTTTTTTCTTCCCAACAAAACCATCAATAAGCATTTTGAGCTGGGCCTTGACTCTTGAACTTGAGTAGCCCACATTTCATCCCAGGTGATAGTATTGATTTATATGCTCTTGGTAGTTTTGAGGTGTTTTCAAAAAATTTCGAAAGATCTTGACTTCCTTGAGATTAATAATGAATGGTTCTTACAGTGTTGAAGGTGTCCATGATAAGAAGATCGTAAAAGCATTTCCTTTCAGAAAATAAAGGGGAAGTGTTAAGAGTAAAGCAGAAAACAGAATCAATGAGATTTGGTTGCAAATTCCCTTCTTCTCTATAGCAATGTTTAGTTTCTGTATGTAATGCTTTTACCATCTATGAACAAAGCTTGGCTTAATTAATCCTATTATATTTGTCACATTGAATAGCATTATACTAATTGACTAATCCTATCATTAAAAAGATCAGAATGAGAAGAAACTGGTTTTCCTGAAGAACTTCTTGTAA